TTTTAGCAAATTGAAGGGCTGGATTACTTATTCGATTATTGGGAGTCTATATATTTAGAAAATAGAATTAGGTTTATTGGTTTTGGAGTAGTTTTATAATCGGTTTATAAACTAGTTAACCAGTAACCGAACTGATAATTTGGTTTGGTTAATAACCGGTTCAAAGGATAATTCGGTCCTCTTTCGGTTCAGATTATTCTTTGAACCAAAAAATCGGTTCGGTTTGAAAAATGGTCAATCCGGTTCAGTTAACTGGATTTCCACACCCTGAGTTAGATTTATTCTATGACTACAAATAGTTTAAGAAAGGCCACAATTTGAGCTCATATGGTTCTCACAATTAAGGTTTATAACACTTAATTCCCTCGTCATTAGTTTCAACCTTTCTAAGAACATATACTATTTTCTTTACACGTAGTAAGTAGATGCCACAATATATATGCTCATAAATAAGCGATGCCTTTTATTCATTTATTGAAATGAGTTTACAAGAGCTAAAACGTTGGCTCTAGTACACCTACTCTAACACTGGGGCTGCAAAATCACCAGTGAGGTAGTCGTATTTCTCTTTCCCTCGAATGAACATTAAGAGGGATTGAGACCATGGAACATAATTTTATCCATTTAATTTATGAGAGGTTATAGGAACATGGGTGGCTTCCAAATTGTGAACAGAAGGAGATGAAGGAACGATGATGCCTAAATAAGTTGAGGAAGAATTACTTTCTGTAACCATACTGGAGGCTAGTCTGTATTTGGCCATGAAGATTTGGAAGACCCAGAGATAATGAGTAAGAAAAACTCGATGATGAAGGTTAAAGAGACAAGATTAAACTTGCTCTGATACCATGAAGACAATAAAGACTTAAAGAATGAAGAAACATAGACTCTATTTCTTCTTCTTTTTATTGAATAATGAAGACATAAATAAATAGATTACAATGGAGAGACAATTTTGGAAAAGAATTTCTCTTATAAGGAAATTTTAAAAAGAAGTCAAGAAGATTTGTCAATTAGGAATGCAATATTCTTGTAAAAGGAAAAAATAATTAAGAAAAAAACTCCTAAAATAACAAGATACAATGGAAAGAAACAGCTTGAATTTCAACACATAGCATTGTAATGAATTAAAATGTGATACAATGCTTAAATGCCACTAGAGGTGGCAAAATCCAGTTATCTGAACCAGTTTTTTCGTTCAAGCAAAAACCTGAACTGAAACCAAACCTAATATTCGATTCGGTTCATCGGTTAATCGGATTTTAGTTTTTTTTAAATCACCTCTTAGCTCACAAGCATTACAAAAAACATTCGGCTTAACAAAGTAAAACCTTCAAAGCATAAATTAATCAGCAACAACTCAACCATCAAATTAATCAATCAATACAACCCACTATAACTCAAACAAAACAAAAAACAATCAAAATCCACTTCAAATACAAACAAACAGAGAGAGGGAGAGAAGTAAATTTCGTTTTTTTGCATCAGATTTGAGTGCCCATTTCGGGATTAGCTGCCCATAGTATGAGGTGTCTTTTGAGGTTTATATGGTGTCAAAGTGTGGAAGATGAGTCTAGAGAAGTGGGCTTGGCTCAAAAGAAAAGGAAGAGAAGATAATACAAAAAAGAAAGAGAAAAATGAAGGAGAAGAGATGGAGAAAAAGACCAAAAATAAAGTGAAAAGTGAAGAAAGAAGAATAGGAGGAGAAGAAGATGAAAAAGGAAGATAAAAGTGGAGAAGAAGAGGAAGATGAAAGAGAAAAGCGGCTGTGACTCTAAGTGAGATGTTGAGTATAATATATATTTAGGGTTTTTTTTTTTTTTTTTAACTAGTTTTAAAATTCTGTTTTGGTTAATCGGTTTGGAAAAACCCATAAACCGAAAACCCAACCGAATAATCGGTTTATGAATTTTTCCAAACCGAAACCCAACTGGTTTTAAAAAAAAAACTAATTTTTGGTTCGGCTTTAGTCCCCTTTTTTGGTTTTCGGACTTTTTTTTTTCACCCCTAGATGCTACAATGAATTTTTTTTTCTTTTTTTTTTTTATTTGGAACAACTTTGCAGTATTTTAAGCTTGGGACTAAATTAATTTAGTCCCACAGTAAGCACGAAAACAAACCCATGGCCCTCCACTTGTCTTTTTTTAAGCCTCATGCAATTATGAGCCTTGCAATTTTAAATATGTTTTAATATTTTATTAAGAATAAATAAATTTGTTAGTATCTTAAAAAATAAAGTAAATTATAATTATAATCAAACCAAATTAATTTTATTCAAATTAAAAATATAGTAAAGTTTGAATTTTGTAATTACATTATATAGTTTTGTCCAACACGATAGGTTGAGTAGCAGAAGTATTAGATTGAGATTTTTGAAAGAAATCACCTCCATGGTGAGGGAATCTTGATAGTCTAAAACTTCCAATATTTTAAAAACTAGGAAAAAGAACTTGATCTACCATGCACTTGAGAAGGAATGGCAAATCCTTGAAAATTTTGATCAAATCAATGATAGCACTGTAGAGCTATATGTCCTCCTTTGCCATAGACTTGACAAACTAACCTTGGTTGAGGATAATCTCTTCCTCTTTCTCGGCCTCTGCCTCTGCCTTTCATCCCATTAGGATTAAAATTGCCAAAACTAAGAGCATTGTTAAACATTTGACCATTATTAGTGGCCATTCTTTGAAACAAATTGGCAGGAGCAAATTGATAATTATGTGAAGCATTTTGATAACCATCAAAACTATTACTAGTGCTACTATTAGCATTTGTGCTGACTGGAAAAGACTGACAATTAAATCATGAACTAGAATCTATTGTAGTCTACTTAGTAGCAACAAAAGCAGAAGTAGGAGGTCATTTTTCATGAAATTTAGCATAAGCTTCATCTTGTCGTTACTCGTTACAGTCGCATTTTATGTTTATGCAAGAAGAATTAAGCTTTTTTTAGAGTGGCACTATCACTTCTTGAAGTAAGATTTACTACTACATCATACTTTGTCCCTAGGCCATCTAAAATTTATAACAACATTTCTTCATCACTAACATACTCCATTTTTAACACATTGTCATTTACACTAAGTGACTCTTTGCAAGTGTTGTGTAACAAAATGCATCTCAAGAGTGTCATATCTCAAACGAAGTAGAATATTTTGCAACTTACTAGAAATTGATCAATCTTTTTCCCAATTAAAATAAGCAGCATTCATTGAGATGTTTCTTCATTCCTCTAGTTACAAACAATAGTGGACACTAATTTTCTCCTATAACAAACACATCAAGCTTATGTGATTTCAGAGCAGGAAGAATTTGTGGTTTCCACTACTCGTAGTTCTGATGCGGGAGCATAAAAGAAAAAAGAAAAGAAATTAAATTAAATTAATTATATTTATGTTGACTTTTGTTTTGTCCTACATGGGAGAGATATGCTTTACTTTTTCACTTAGAAGGCTATAAATAAAGCCTTATTTTGTCCCTTGTAATCATCCTTGAATATTATTAAATATATTTGGAGTTAAAGCATTTGCTTTCTCTTCCTTTTTGAGGTTATAGTTATCCTTGGCTTAGCCAACCAAGGTGGCCTTTTTGGTTATTATCGCCATAGCGGGGTTTATTCTAACCTCACCACAATTGGTATCCATAATGGGGTTTTCAACCTCACCAAAATTGGGGTTTCTCGCGACGTCCCGGCGTCAAGTTCTTCCTCCCAATTTCACTAATATTGTTGGCAGAGAAGCTGGAACTATTGATCTTGACATTACAATACTACATTTTTTGCTTGACAGAAGAGCAGAGAAATTCAAAGAAGCCGTTAATGTAGGTCTAGGGCTTTGATACTATATAGAATTTCAATGGATCGGAAAAAGAAGGGAATTTAGGGTTCGATTTGAATGATTTTCATTAAAAAGCAATAGAATACTAGCTGGGTTTTATAAACGAAGTTGTTCAGCAACTGATATCACCAAGGTGCAGAAACGCACTGTTTCTCTAATACATTCTTTTGGAAACTAAACTAACTTTAACTGCAATATTAACTAATTCCACTATGTTTAGAGAACTGAACTAGTACAAATTCTTGTGAGGCTTGACCTACTATACTGCTTTCCATAACAAAAACAGCTACGACTATCACTTGTAAAAGGTTTTGACAAGTGTAAGAGAAGAAAGTTCTAGAAGATGTAAAACACTCAACTACAAATTTTGAATGATGAAGTCTAAGACTTACCCCGAATAGATGAGCTAATCTGAAAGTATTAAATAATACAAAAACCAAAAAAAATTATTTCATACGTAAAATCCAATTAAATATGTTTCCCATTTTCTTGAGAAATTCAAGATCACAAACTAGCACAGACACAAAACAAAATCAAACTATTTACATACAGTGAAACTAAATTATAATTCAAATCAAATGAAAATTTTTACAGAAATTCATATCAATCAACAAAAAAGAGGTAACAAAACCCCAGCCAAATTACACTGCTAAGTCAAAATCTTAACAATAAAAAGTAAAGTTGTTGCTTGTTGAACAAAACTCCTCATTCAACTTCTCTGTTTCACCTTGAACAAAAATCTAATTAACAGAACTTCATCAAAACTCCTTCTTTTACACTATTGAGTAATATAGATATGATGAGTGCGCAATATTCTTTTGAACTTCATAACACAAGGAAAATGAGAGGCCAAATGAATATTTTGAGTGGATTTTCACAATGTCGAAGTTGTAAAACGAACGCAATTTTGCGAAAATAAACTTGAAGATCGATTTCACAAAGTAATTATCCATATACATTATCGGCTTGACAGTAACTGAATAGCCTTTTAGCATCTTGTATCTCCACCTCTAAACAAAAACTTGCAGCCACTCCTCGGTTCTCTGCAAACAAGTTCTTTGATGCAAATATATAACCATGTTCACAAGCTTTGTGGAGCATATCGCTGCTTTTGGCGTCTAGTTTTTTCCTCAAAATTGACCCACCTCAACTGATTAAGCAAGATTAATCTTTGGTGAACGACGTCTTCTTCTGAGAATTCTTTTGAAATTTAGAACACAGAAGGCAAAACGAGAACATGAGAGGCCAAATGGATATCTTGATTGGATTAGCAGTATGTCGACAGTATAAAGAATACTCAATTGTCGCAAAGACACACTCGAAGAATGAGCAAAGCAACCCGATTATGTCGCTGAGAGAGCCGAAAGGCTTGTAGCTTGGAGATGGATAATAAAACCAGGGGACTTTCTCCTTCCATTTCCAAGAAACTTTTCCCTCTCGGCCTTTGTATATAAGCTGAGCAATGCAAATGAGCATTGTTGTGATCGACATTATCATGCTTAGTAGTGCATATTGAATTTTATTATTGGAAGAAAGCTGATCGAAAACAGCTGAGGGAACCTCTAGGATAAAGTTGATGACAACAAAGATCTGCTCCGTGGTAACCTGTGTAACAAACTTATTATCTCTTTGAACACGAAATTGTAATAAAATATACAAGGAGACTCGCATAATTGGATATTGAATATATATAAATATGGATATAGAATCATGTAACATGGAAACTATTATTAGCACTAGCTCATCTCTCTTACCAACGTTCACATTTTCTCAAAAATAAAAACCTCATATATTGGCACGGGTAAACAACAAATGACAAAAAATCAATCAAACTGTCTCACATCAAAAGTGGCAAATTTATGTCTTTGTCTTGATCGGTGTTAGTAAATGAGAGTACGTAAGATTTTTTTTTTTTTTTTTTTTTAATAATAAATGCTTGTATGAGAAATTTTCAATTTTAAGAGTAAAAATCATTTACCCCCTATAGTTTCAAAAAGTCAATTTTTTGGGGTAATTATGGACTTTTCAATCAACTAACCCCGAGCAGTTTAAAACAAATCAACCACCCTCCAAAATCCTAACACCGTCCAAGATATATTAAGTGAACAAGGGTAAGATAGTCTTTCGCGTTCCCTCATTTTTTCCTTCTTTCTTTGTCTCTCTAAGCCCCCTCCCATTTTTCTTTATTTTTCTCCATTCTTCCCCTCCATCTTTCTTTCCTTTCACCCCCGCCTTTTCCTCTTTCTCCTACACCATCTTCTTCTTCCTCACTTGCTTATTTCAATAACTTCCTTTGTCAGATCTACCATGCTGCTAAGGAAATAAATCCGTATGGAAGCTATTGTGCACGGTCAGTAGCATGTTGTGCATAGCCAACAGCCGCATGATACCAACCACGTTCCCTCACCCAGTTAGCCCATGAACCTGCAATCACCTCCCTTTCTCCATCATGACAACGTGCATGAGTTTATTGGCAAGAGAAAAGGAAGACCACCTGCACACTCGAAGGATTACGTTCCTAAATAATAGGGCAACTGGTTTACGTGATGTTAGTGGCTATTTACTTGTATTTGAATATTTAAATACTACATATCTCATGGTAATTTCATTGAACAGTAATTTTAACTTATAAACTTCCAATCTCCCAACTCTCACCTTCTTGGAGGCCTTTCTCTTCCTCGAATTAGAGAGCCAACACATTACCCCCTATGAAATTGGTACTTTCGTTCACCTTCTCCCATTATGGCAAAGGGAACACGCTTCAAACTGGTTGATGAAAAGCTTCAACAGAATGCCTCTGATATCAAAGAACTCAAATCCGCCTCACTTGAACTTCATGGCGAATTCGAGTCCCAAGTTAACTCCATTCACAAACACTTCTAAAATATCAGTTCTCTTCCCTCGCCGACCAGCTCTCCCACTTAACCTCTACTCTTCAACATCTCCCTATGTCCCATGCCACCACTTCTACACTACCAGAACCCCTTGCTCCGCCTCGCATTGCGCCTGATCATGCCCTTGCCACCACCTCCAAATTTCGCCTCGACTTTCCTTGGTTTGATGGTTGTAACCCTTCTTCTTGGTTATACAAAGCCCTCCAATTCTTCAACTCCCATCAAATTCCTGCAGCTCACCACATGCCATTTGGATGGCCCAACTTTGTTTTGGTGGCAGTGGTACTCTGCTTGCCAACCACAGCTTTCTTAGGACCAATTCACCTCCGAGATCGAGACTCGTTTTGGTGACTCCCCCTTCATCAACCATATAGCCTCCTTGGCCAAACTCAACCAACACAGTTCGGTTCAGAATTACATCGTCGCCTTCGAATTCCACTCAAACAAACTTCCCTGCCTACCCAACACTTACTTTCTTAGCATTTTTATCATCATCCTTCGGTTTGATATCCGACGCGAAATCCAGGCGTTGGAACCTGATTCCATCTACAGGGCCATGAGACTTGCCAAGCTTCAAGAAGATAAATTCCTTGACTCCCGTCGCCCGTTACCTCGTTGGATTGCCCAACCTGTCGTGCGACACCCTCCTGCTGCACCCCTCCTCCCAACCCCACCTATATCCCCCTCCACCACCAAAGTTATTACCAATGCCGACATGCAACAACATTGAGAATAGGGCTTATTGTTAACGTGATTGATATCTTTGTGGAAGCATGTGGCAAGCGACCTGAAGCTAGCAACCAGATGAGCTAGATGAGTAAAGCTGTGATGTGAAGCAAATGTTCTCTAAGCATGTGTCGTAATGAACATGCAGTTTGGATGAAGTGACTAGAGGGTAATGTGATCTAGAAGCAATGCAAGAAAGGGTTCAAGTGACCTAACAAGCTTGAGATTAGAAGTATGCAGTTGCCTGTCAGAAGGAAGGTCAAAGCCATCATTGTTGAATGTCAGAAGACGGTCAATTATCCTGTAGGGTTTAGTTGTTATAATGGATAAGATTGTCAGATGTCAAACTGGTTAGGAATGTTTGGCTCAAAATTCTAACAACATGTAAAAGTGGCTTAGAGTGTTAAATTTGTCTAAAGTCTAGGATTATCATTTAATACTTTGCAGAATAGGCGTGTTAAAAGACGCAATCAATGATGTGTTTAGGCTGTATATAATCAATGTTTGAATTAATGAAATTAGAAATTTTTTGTGCATTCTTTCTTTGTATTCTCTAGCTATTAATCCAACAATTGGTATCAGAGCCATAATTCTCTTCACCGAGATTAATCTATTGTTAAATAGTTCGTCTTCTTCCCTCAAAATTACCTTCAACTTTAAAGTCTAAAACCTGTCTTCATGGCGTCAAGCACAACTTCTCTCTTACCTCCAGTCTTCAATGGAGAATAGTACCATAGACATACTTGAAGGGACAAGGTCACTGGCAATACATCACGGAAGAGAGGCAGCTAACTCAACTAGGAACCAAATCCCACGATGAATCAAAGCCGGTTGCATAAAGAAGAAGCCATGAAAGCTCATAGAGCTTTGTCACACATACACTCAGCTGTAACGAAACTGGTTTTCACAAGAATAATGGCTTGTGAGACACCGAAAGAAGCTTGGGATAAGCTTAAATAGGAGTGTTGTGGAAGTGATAAAACCAAAAAGATGCATGTTCTGAATCTAAGAAGAGAGTTTGAGGTGTTAAATGTGCAAAAGTCTGAAAATGTGAAAGAATGTGTTGATCGATTGATGAATGTGGTCAACAAAATCAGACTGCTTGGCGAGGAGTTGATGGATGCAAGAATGTGGAAAAGATTCTCATGAGTCTACCAAAGAGGTTTGAGGCCAAAATCTCATCCCTAAAAGACTCGAAAGATCTCTATTAGATGATCCTTGCTGAGCTTGTCCATGCCCTACAAGCTTAAGAACGAAGAAGATTGCTGAGATAGGAAGATAGCAGTGAGGGAGCCGTGACGGCGTCTTATAAAGGGAAATCAGTGCAAAAAGGATACAAAAAGCCTACTGGAGACAGAAAGGGGAAAGAAAAGGCTACCAATAATTGGGGCAAGAATGGTGGGATGAAGGGATATCCACCATGCACCCACTGTAAGAACAAGAACCACAAAAATAGATGCTAGTTTAGACCTAACATTCAGTGTCGGTCATGCAAACAGTTCAACCATATTGAGAAGGTTCGCAAAAATAATACCAACCAACCACAACCTCAACAAGCTCAAGTGGTCGAGAATCAACAACAAAATCAAGAGGAGAACTTGTTTATAACCTCTTGTCATACAACTCACTTTGAAAGAAACACGGCTGATAAACAGTGGTTGTACTAACCACATGACACCCGACCTCACCAACTTTGTGGAACTAGATCATTCCTTCCAATCTAAGGTAAAGGTCAAAAATGGAGAGTTCGTGGAAGTTAAAGGAAGGGGTGAAGTTGGTGTCCAGACTTCTATGGGCATAAAACACATCATGAATGTGTTGTATGTGCCATAAATCAGTCAAAATCTACTAAGTGTGGGACATATGTTAGAGAAGAATTATTTCTCTACACTTTCAGAACAGGTCGTGCACAATAGTGGACAACAGAGGAAGTGAGTTAATGAAAGTAAAGATGATGGGTAAAAGTTTTCACGTAGAATGAAGAAAACCTAAAGTTCAAACTCAGTCTGCCAGAATAGATGAGTCAGAACTTTGGCTTAAGAGACTTGGTCATTTTCACTATAATGGGCTGAAAGAAATGAAGCACAAGAATCAGGTGCTGAACTTACCGAAAATCGAAGAGAGAAGGAGTTTATGTCAAGCCTATCAGCTCAAAAAATCGAGCAGACAACCATTCCCTGGAAATGCAACTTGGAGAGCTACTAAGAAACTCCAATTGATACACACTGATGTGTGGGATCCTATGCAGACTCCCTTCTTAAGTGGAAGTATGTACTTTGTGTTGCTCATTGATAGCTACTCTAGAATGATATGGGTTTATTTTCTACAACAGAAAAGTGAAGTGATGAAAGTATTCAAGAAGTTTAAGCTCCTGGTAAAAAACCAAACTGGTTTGACCATCAAAACTGTTTGCAGTGACAATGGAACAGAATACACTTCGAATAAATTTGAAGAGATATGCAAAGGAGTTGGAATCAAGCACCAGTTCAGCAGTCCTTATACTTCACAACAGAATGGAGTCAGTGAAAGGAAAAACAGAATAGTCATGGAGATGGCTAGATGCATGATTGCTGAAAAGAAGCTGCCCAAGACATTTTGGGCTGAAGCAATTAAAACATGAGTCTATTTGCTGAATAGACTGCCAACAAAAGCCCTAAATGATTAGACTCCAATAGAAGCTTGGTATGGAGTTAAACCAAGTGTGGAGGACTTCAAAGTCTTTGGAAGCATCTGTTATGCTCATGTTCTAGCTAAAGAAGCAAGCTTAACGAAAAAGCCAAAACTGGAATTTTTATTGGCTACAGCAGCCAATCAAAAGCTTACAGAATTCTTAATCTAATCACCAACAAAATTTTGATCATAAAGGATGTCAGAGTTGATGAGACATCGATTCGAAATTGGAAAGAAAAGAGAATTGAAGAAGAAATACCTTAGCAAAAAGAGGTTACCAACGACTAGAATGAAGTTGAGGAAGAATCAGATGCT